TGTGGCATAGTCAATGAAGAGGCCACCTTAGGTGCTGGTATCCTATCTGAGCACGGGGTCGAGTCCTGGCTATTCCACTTCAGGTCCAGCTTCCTGCCAATGTACTCGGGAAGCAGTGAAAGATGGTCCAAGTGCTTAGGGCCCTGCAGCCACATGTGAGGCCCATCCTGGCTCTCGACTTTCTCTCTCTCTCTCTTTCCTTCTCTTTCTCTCTGCAACTCTGCCTTTAAAATGAATAAATAAATCTGTTTTTGAAAATGAGAGATTTTCACAGAATGCTCAGTATAACTTTGAGTTCTGCTGAATAAAGCGCCTATCATTGCTATCTGTTTTCAAAGCTCTTGTCCTTTGGGGATTCAGACTACAATATTTGATAATATTTGCAAATGAAACGACATTTGGCATTTGTTTATAAACAATCCTGTGGGAAACATGGTGAGGCTGTGGGTGTGAATAGAAAAAATATGATAAGATGACCAGGAATTGAAAGCAGGTCACAGGGTCTATTCAGAAAGGTTTATGGCAGCATTCTTTTCTATTTCTGAATATGATGGAAATTTTCTACACTGAAAACATGGAAAAATGAATTAGGATAAAATGAATACCAAGAGAGAAGTAAAAGCAAAAAGCATAAATACAGTTTTATTCAGACTGTTTTTCAGATAAATTAGCAGGGACCTATCTCAGAACTGGAGCAGCTGGGACTCCTGTGCAGCAATCCACTGGTCTCTCATTTTTAGAACTTAGGTGGAGCTGTGTGCAGGATATCCTGAACCATCTTCCCATGCACAAATAGGCTGTTTCATATTTTATTGGAGAAAGAAGAAAATTGATTTTCATAGACTTATGTGTCTCTCAAAAGTTGCTGCTTTTGGCTCCTTTTGACCATAATCACATTTGTTTCAAATATGCAAGGCTTCTAAAAGATCCTGGAAAATGGAGTAAAAAGACAAACTTGTTTTTGCATAAAAGATCTTGAAATCCAGACATTTTCATATTCTGCAGCTTCTTTGAGTTAAAAAAAAAAATATATATATATATATATTTATTTGAAAGTTAGAGTTACAGAGAGAGGGAGAGACAGAGATTTTCTATAGGCTGGTTCTCTCCCCAGACAGCTGCAAAGGCAGGGGCTGAGCCAGTCCAAAGTCAGGAGGCAGGAGCTTCATCTAGGTCTCCTCGTGGGTGCAGGGGCCCTTGAACTTGGGCCATTTTCTGTTGTTTTCTCCAGACCATCAGCAGGGAGCTGGAGGGGAAGTGGAGCAGCTGGGACACGACCAGAAGCCACATGGCTTTACCCACAATGCTACAGCTCTGGCTCTACTTTTTGGGAATTTTGAAGAGCTCTCCAGGAGTATGATCCTAATTCTTAACTAGGCAGAAGATTTAGACACCGGTTTGTTAAATACTCGAGTTTTCTTCCCTTCTTCTCCCCTGAAGTCAATTTACTGAGCTAGTTTTTGCTGTTTGCTCACTGTTTTTCATTCTTTCAAGTGGCAGGCAGAGAGCATGCGCTAAGCCCAGGAGCAGTTCCACCTAAGGCTCTCTGGAGGCAGGTGGCACTTCTGACCAAGAGGGCCATGACTCTCCGCACCAGCCCCGCCTGCTGCTCAGCTGCCCTCTGCCTAAAGGAAGACTGGAGGAGTTCAAGCGACACCAGCTCTTGTCTCCAAAAGAGCAGCTGCATAAACCAGCTGGCGTCTGTCACAGGGTTTCCTCACCACCACCCACCTTCTGGTTTAAAGGCATCCAGTTGACTTCTTCTAGAAGAAGCCGGCTCCTGTCAGAAGTAGCGCCTGCATACTGCGAAGACCTGCCTGCCTGGGTGTGGGCCTCCTATGGGTTGGGAAACCTTCCAGAAGCTTTGCAAGTCCAGATTTGAGCAAAAGCTGACAGTGCTGGGAGCAAGAGGCAGACGTAAAGGGAGATTGTTAGGCAGGTTCTCAAGGACTAGTTAGCCAAATAAGGCAGGGACTGAGAGCAGCTTCCCAGGGCTGTTTCCTTTAGATTAATTTTTATCAGAGAGAGGAACAAAGGATTGGCTTGTACATGCTAGATGCTTAATGTACTCCCACAATAGAAGACTAAATGTCAATTGTGGTTCTCTGTATGACTCCAATTTGTAATCTCAAGCTCTGTGTGGGGGCTGGGACAGTACTGTGTAGGTGTGACTGGCGTTTCTCAAGGACATGACTCCAACAAGTTGGGTGGTGCCGAGTAGATTTCCTGGAAGACCATAAGGACAGAACATGTTTCTTGGATAAAATCCTGCCCTGGAGTATTAGATCACATCTGACAGTTCCAGCCTAACTTTCCTCACAAGCATGCATAATTATAAATCTCTTAAAATAAAATTTGAAAAAAAAAATCCTTAATACAGAAAGAATCTTCAGAAAGTTCATTAAAATGTGTAAGGGGTGGGTGTTAGGCTTAGCACGTAAGCCACCTGTGTTCCATGGCCAAGCGCCTGGGTTTAACACCTGGTTTGGGTTTCTGATTCCAGCTTCCAGCTAATACAGGCCCTGGCAGACAACAGTGACATGGCTCAAGTGATTGGGTTCCCAGCACCCATGGGAGAGATTGGGATCAGGATTTATTATGGATCATTATTAGGAGGTTGGAGTAGTGGAAATGCTACCATGTCTTCAAATTCCCCGGCAGGAAACTTGGTAAAGTTCCACTTTTCAGAGGCAGGGCTCTTAGAACAGAGACAAAACTTGCTGAGTCGGGAGGCCAGTGCTAGCAGCCATGAGCCTCGGCCGCCTTCCGGTAGCCTGGGAGTGAGCTTGGCCCTGCCCACCGCTCCAACCACACGCTGGTTCTGCGGCTGGCGCCCATGCACCTGCTGATTTGGCCAGCGTGAATCCTGGCGCTGTGTCGTGGGCTCTCCGAGCGCACCCTGCAGGCTGGACGAGGAACAGCAGGATGTCAGAGGCGTGGAACCACTCCATGGTCCCTCAGGGCAACCCAGACAGGCCACGGGTGACCTGCACCACCAAGGACGCTGCTGCACACCAGCCCCCGTGAAGAAAGCGTGCTGGACAGCCTCATTAGCTGCACAGGCAACCTAACCTAGTCGGTGTCACAGACGAAAGTCACCGAGGGCAGGAAAGAGGCTGTACTGGGGAAATACTGGTTAACAGGCACTAAGCTATTCAAATGGCGGTTATGTTCTGTGTCATTGCAGAGTAAACATACATAGTCTACTCTGTGTGTATATGCACATATACATGTATTTTAAATACGTATTTATTTCCAAAGTCTGTATGCCACAATGCAGGCTGTTTCACTCTCCAAACGGCCACAAGGACCAGAGCTGGGCTGATCCGAAGCCAAGAGCCAGGAGCTTTTTCAGAGTGTGCCACGTAGATGCAGGGGTCCAAGCACATGGGCCATTCTCTTCTGCTTTCCCAGGCCACACACAAGGAGCTGGATCAAAAGTGGAGCAGCTGGGACATGAATGGGTGCCCATATGGGATGCTGGCACCGCAGGCATAGGATCACATTGCTATACCAGCCTGCCAGGCCCAGACGGACTTTTATATTTGGCCATAAGTCATTTATAGTCCCAAAGGGCCACAGATTTAGAATGGGAGGGGAAACAAGGGAGGCAAGAAGAAAATGTTAACATGTTAGCCAACAAAAAAGCATCAAAGCCTGCTTCGCCGCCCCAGCATGACCTTGGCTGCATCCATACATTTGACTTACTTGAAGCTATAGACACAATAATATAGTCCTCATGGGACTCCTCACTTACCAGAAACAAGCTGCCATCAACAAAAACCCTTTCATCCCCGAGAAATACGACAAATCATTACAAAAGCTGAACTTTTACAACGAAATGGCAAGGGTTTCACACATGGATCACAAAAGCCGTTTCTGAATAGCCTTAATCCCACTAACTGTCCTCCTGTACTCCAGAAATGCAGAGCTATTCTGTATCCCGTGAAGTTTTTTTTTTAAAAACTCTTTGAAGTACATACAAAGTAGCAAAGGAAAATATTAAAATTTGTCCAAAAAAAGTCTATGCACAAAGTTCGGGCTATTTGTCAGTTGGCCTGGACCTTGGGTGGACGCCAAAGCGATGAAATCGTCCTACTTGGACCTACAGAAACAAAAGGAGCTCCTGATTCAGAAAAGGCGTGGGGAAGGCGGTGTCCAAGGCCCGCAGCAGCGGGCAGTGCTGTCCGCTCCAACGCCCAGCCGTCTCTTCGCTGGGAACACTAAGCTTTTTAGGAATTACTGATGGGCTCTTGCCATCTCTTCTGCTTTTGTCTTTAGTGCTGCTGATAAACGAAATGACGACACGCACAAGGCAGCACTTCCAGCCCACATGAGCGTGGCCTGTCAACCATCATAACCAAGCGTGCAGAGCCACGCCACTTGAGCGGCAGGGACTACAAGTCCCAGAGTCCCCCGGGGCGGAGGCGGAGACCTCCGTCTAATTGATTACTTTCGCATCCAATGAGAGTCGCAGCAGTAATAAACAGCCACAATACGTCATCTAGAGAGGGCGTAAAATAGACCGTTCGCATACCTATTATAGACTTTCTCAGCACTCCTAGTTGTTGTAGGGCCCGACTTACATTTTTTCTCACTCCCTGCGGAAGATTTCTATTCATTCCCACAATGCTTCACCAAAGTCCAGCTCTGCGAAATCGCCAGCTTCCCAGCCCGCCTCAGGCAGTGCGGAAGGCGCCAAACCGGTTTGATCTTGCCACTTTATTGGTCACGCACCAGATGGCCTACGTCTTCTCATCCAATGGAGTGTTTGAAACTTCCGTTCACGTAACGTAGGGGGCGGTGCCAAACAGGGCAAGCTTCTTGCTTTGGTCCAATCAAAAGGTAGCATGGGAGATCAGCGCCAGGCAAGTTCCTAGCGTCCCGCCTCTTTGGCTTCCTCTGGAATTTGGCCCGCCCCTCTGCTGCCGACCAATCCTCTGCGGTTTCCTTTACGCATTTACCCAATCAGAGGGGCGGAGGGCGGGATTCCGGTCGTCGGTTCCCAGCCCGGGCTGAGTTCGCTTCGCCCGGTGTCCGCGTGCTGAGGTAGATCCACGGACCGGATGGGGCCAGCGGGGGCCGGGGCTGGGCAGCCGTGTTGGCGGGGGCCGTGTTGGCGGCGGCCGTGCGGGTGCCCTGGAGCGGGCTGGCGGGCGGTGCCGGGCGGAGGGGAGCCGAAGCTGGGCTGCTGCCCTGGAGTTAGTCATCCCCACGCGGCGAGGGGTCCGGGCAGTCACCGGGCGGCCTTAGGCCCCCGTGGGTGTTGGGGTTAGAGGTGAGGGCTGACGTGTTAGCTAAACTGGCTAGTCCTCCACCTGCAAGCGCCGGGATCCCATGTGGGCTCCGGTTCTAATCCCAGCGGCTCCACTTCCCATCCAGCTCCCTGCTTGTGGCCTGGGAAAGCAGTCGAGGACGGCCCAGAGCTTTGGGACCCTGCACCCGTGTGGGAGACCTGGCAGAAGCTGGTCCTGGCTTCAGTCTGGCCTAGCTGAGGCCATTGTGGCCGTTTGAGCAGTGGATCAGTGACTGGAAAATCTGTCTTTCCCTCTATAGGTCTGCCTTTCAAATAATTAAATAGTTTTAAAAAAAATTTTTCCCCACCATTCTGGGCCTGGCACAGTAGCCTAGTAGCTAAAGTCCTCACCTTGAATGCACTGGGATTCCATATGGGCACTGGTTCTAATCCCGGCAACCCAGCTTCCCACCCCAGCTACCTGCTTGTGGCCTGGGAAAGCAGTTGGGGATGGCTTGAATCCCTGGGACTTGCGTTGGAGAGCCTGAAGAAGCTCCTTGCTCCTGGCTTTGGATTGATGCAGCTTCAGCTATTGCAGCCATTTGGGGAGTCGACCATCGGATGAAGATCTGTCTCTCTGTAAATCTGACTTTCCAATAAAAATAAATAAATTTTTAAAAAAATGATTCACCAGTCTGCATTACAGCAAGGGTAGCAAGACCACCATTTTTTTTTTTAAGTATATTAGGTCTGGGCCCAGCTGAACAGGAGCCAGAAGCAGAAGCTGCAGCTCTCACACAGGTGGGAGGAACCCAAAGACCGGGGCATCTCCTGCTGCTCTCCCAGTGGGCTCTTCAGGTCCAGGGCGGGACCAGAGGCAGCGCAGCTCGGACTTGCACCAGCGCTGGAGGTGGAGCAGAGGCCCCAGGCAGTGGTTAAGCGCGCTGCAGCCCCCTGACTCCAGGTTTCCAGTTGATGGCTGCTGTGGCGTTCTTCCTGTTTTTATCTTTGTTCTGGTTCTGTCCAAGCCCTTCCCTTTCCTCATGGCTGCTTCAGCCTTGCATCGCACAGACTTTAAGTTGTTGATGTGCATGGCAGGAGTGTATTTCTTCTTAATGCATTTAATTATTTTTTTTTTAAAAGTTGCCAAGAGAGAGGGTGAGACACAGTTCTTCCAACTGCTCATTCACTCACTGGATGGTCGCAATGGCCAAGTCTGGGCCGGGCCAGGCCAGAGTCAGGAGCTTCATCCAGGTCTCCCGTGTTGGTGCAGCAGTCCGAGCGTTTGGGCCCTCCTCTGCTGCTTGTCCCAGGCCACTAGCAGGGGGCTGATTTGGAAAGGGAGCAGCTGAGACGTGATCCTGTGCCAGCACAGGATGTCAGCGTTACAGGCAGCGGCTTACCCGCTGTGCTGCAGCACCAATCCGAGAAGTCTGTTTTCAGAAAGTAAAGTAGTTGCTGAGTTTAACAGTTTCATAATGGTTGATTGACTTTTTCACTTGATTTCACTAGTTTGCCACTGCTTTATGTGCAAGGCAGCACTGAACTGTTCATGATATTCTCTAGGTTTGTCCCCTGTACAGAGGGAGAGACCCAGGGTCAGAGAGAGGTCTTCCATATGCCAGCTCCCATCCCAGATGGCTGCTGGCGCCAGGCTGAAACTGGCAACTAGGCACTTCTAGATCGCTCATGTAGGTGGCAGGAGCCATCTGCCGCTGCTTTGCTGATCCTTTAGCTGGGAGCTGGGTTGGAAGTGGAGCAGTCAGGACAGGAATTGGCTTCCCAATGGGATGCTGGCATCGCAGGCAGTGCCTTTACTTGCTGTGGCACAACCCTGGCACTCCCACCCCCACCCCACTCCCTGAGCCATTTGAAAAGCTGGAAGAGTGTGATTCATGAATCACTGGGTCATTTTTTTTTTAATCTTGAGTGATTAAAACATATGTATGTTTTTGGTATCAAGATGTATTTGTATCATATACACAGTATACAGTGATTACTGCATTCTGGAAGCTTAATGTAGTGGAATTGTGTAAGTGTCTTTTGACATACGAGTAGCATGTTGAACATGTTGTATCATTGAGGCGTCTGGGCCTAGCTCTTCCATTCCCTGCAAGCCATCGTGGGCCTGTTGAATGCTTGCTGCATGCAGGCTGCTCTGTCCGTGCTGGGGGTGCTTCCAAAGAGATCCTTAGTCTCCTGTCCTCCCTCGGGCCTCTGGGGCTTTGGGAGGTCAGGGCAAACTGGCCCTCAAGCTGGGCTCCTTTTAGCAGTGTTGTTAGTTGTTCGTTGTTGAGTCTCACCCAGAGGCTGAGGGCTGCTGTATGTCTCTTCCCATTCAAGCTCCCGTTGTCACCGTGGTTCTTGATGGTTGCTCCTTGCATTCCTCAACTGTCTCGAGTGCGATTTGCGTTGGTGTTTTCGTGTGTCTCCCACCGGCGGAGTGAGGTAGGCTGTTGGTGAGGATCAGGCTTGTGGAAGATGGGTATTGAAAGTTTACTAGCACACTCCCTATGCTGAAGAAATAATACTGCACAGTAGGGCAAAAAAGGGAGACAGATATGTAAAACAGAGAGCCAAACAGCACTTGAGCATATTTGATACAGGATTATTGCTACATGCGTGACAGACCATGTTTTATTATTCAGAGGAAGTACAAACTGAGTTTAAGTTGGATTAGGAAAGCTTGTGCGTATTAACGGAGTTTGAGGAGGGCTTGCAATACTAGGGTACTGATGAATTTGGAAAATATGGTGAGTGATTTGCATGTTTAGAATTCTATCATGTGCAGCCCCTGCAGAAATGACACTGGGATGTTTAGAAACTTCAGAAAGTTCACAGAACTTGGAATTAAAAGTAAGCTGATTTTGATGTGGAAATTATTTAAAGTTAATGTATTTTCTTTCTTTTTAATTTGAAAGGCTGGGTTAGAGAAAAGAAAAGACAGATCTTCTTTCTATTGCTTTACTCCTCAGATGGACACAACAGCTGGAGCTGAGCTGATATGAAACCAGGAACCTGGAGCTTCTTCTGGGTCTCCCATGTGATTGCAGGGGCCCAAGGACTTAAGCCATCCTCCTTTGCTTTTTCAGGCCGTAAGCAGGGTGCTGGATGGGGAGTGGAGCAGCCTGGACATGAACCGGTGCCCATAAGGGATGCTGGCACTGCAGACAGAGGCTTGGCCTACTGTGGCATGGCTCCCAACATATGTTTTTATAGTATGCATTTTCTACAAGCTTAACTATCATAGTGTTATAATTTTATGAAAAACGTTTACTTCTATCTACTTAAAAATGTTTGTGGAATCATATATTTGCTTTTACTTCCTAAGTAATGTTATGCTAGATTTCAATTTTATTTATTTATTTATTACTAATTTGTATTTATTAGAGAAGACAGAGTGTGCACTCCATCTTCTGGTTCCCACCTGACAGCTGGCACTCCACTGTGCTGGGAGCCGGGCGCCTGACCTGGGTCGCAGGTGTGTGTCCTCTGGGCATCTGTGTAGTTAGAGGTGACTGCGTGCTTGCTAGCCTGCATCAGGAGTGGGAGGTACTGCTGCTGCATGTGAGAGGTCATGGCCGGTGGCAGAGCTGACAGGCAGGAGATGCTGTGCAGGTGACTTTTTTTTTAAAAGATTTATTTTTATTCTTTTTTTTTTTTTTTTTTATTGGAAAGGCAGATATACAGAGAGGAGAGACAGAGAGGAAGATCTTCCATCCGATGATTCTCTCCCCAAGTGAGCACAGCGGCTGACGCTATGCCAATCCAAAGCCAGGAGCCTCTTCCGGGTCTCCCACACAGGTGCAGGGTCCCAAAGCTTTGGGCCGTCCTCGACTGCTTTCCCGAGCCACAGGCAGGGAGCTGGATGGGAAGTGGAGCTGCCGGGATTAGAACTGGTGCGCATATGGGATCCCGGGCGTGCAAGGCAAGGACCTTAACCACCTGCGCCACCGTGCCGGGCCCTGGTGACTTTTTTACATTTTAAAAAAATTTATTTTACTCAAATGTTATTTATTTTACTTGAATGTCAGAGTTGCAGAGAGAGATCTTCCATCTGCTGGTTCACTCCCTAAATGGCTGCAACTGCTAGAGCTGGGCTCTTCTGAAGCCGGGAACCAGAAAGCTTCTCCGGGTCGCCCGTGTGGGTGCAAGGGCTGTGGGCCATTGACCATAGCGGACAGCTGGATGGGGTGTGGAGCAGCCGGGGCTGGGTGCGGCTGGACCACATAGGGCACAAGGATGTGCTTTCATCTGCTGCTTTCCCAAGCTTGTTAACGGGGAGCTGGATTGGAAGTGGAGCACTCGGGACCCTTACCTGATGCCCTATGGGGTGCTGGCATCAGATGCTGGCTTAACCTGCGTTCCTGAAGGGTGGTTTTTGGGGTGGGATTTATTACCTAGTTGTTTCCTAATCCTTGTCTCTCTTTAATCATAGATGTTCTGATTTTGACCCAGAATCACTAAAATCCCATCATTCAAAGAATATAGATACATGAGATGTATTTTGGATTTCTACTTTTTAAGATCGTTTTCTGGGCCCAGTGCAATAACCTAGTGGCTGAATCCTTGCCTTGCATGCACTGGGATCCCATATGGGTGCCGGTTCATATCCCAGCAGCTCCACTTCCCATCCAGCTCCCTGTTTGTGGCCTGGGAAAGCAGTCCCAGGATGGTCCAAAGCCTTGGGGACCTGCACCCGTGGGAGGCCCAAAAGAAGCTCCTGGTTTCCAACTTTAGATCGGCTCAGCCCTGGCTGTTGTGGCCACTTGGGAGTGAACCAGTGACGGAAGATATTTCTCTCTGTCTCTCC